TTTTAAAGGCAACGTTCATATTTCATTATCATTTTTTGGGTATAATAAAGTTCTTAGAATATTATAATTTTTATATCAAAATAATAATTTTAATATATTTAAAAGTTCACAGTTAAAACTGTTAAATTTTTAAGAAATACTAGACAATTTCTGTAAAAGGTAAACTTTCGTTTCGTAAATTTGACGGGAAATATGAAAAAACTTTTTAATACCTAATAAAATAATTATTTTTTTTTTTATTGAACTGCTAATCTGTTTTAGTTTACATCACACTAACTATTATTGATTAAGTGTTTTATCATTTTTACCTATAAAACGAATATTTAGTAATTTTTCAATAAAACTATGTAAACGGAATGCTTTCTCTCATATATTTTTACGCTACAATTTTTAATTGTTTCAAATATTACTATTGAAAATTTTGATGTCAAAGTTTTAGGAAAATAATTGTATTAAATAAATAATAGGATTTAAGCCTATGAAGTCATTTAAAAGGAAAACACATTTCAACTGATGAATTTATGTCATAAACCTTACGAGACATTTTTATTAATCCAATACTTAATAAAACTATACTGAGGGAACGAAAATGTTGCTAACGCAATGAATCATACACTTGTTCTATATAACACTTAGTATGACAGTGTTATCAATTATCTGTTTCCAGTTTTTAAAATGACAACTAATTATAGTTTCTACTCTTCGTGTAAATATAGTAAAGTAATTAAATTTGAATGTCTAATGTTTGTAATGCCAAAGATCTAAGAACTTAATCTAGTCTTACAAAATATAACCAAATTGTATGCAACTAGATTTTTATTTATTACATGTAATAAAAGCAAAAATGGAAAAAATGACAGATTAAACATAAACATAAAACAATTTTTCATAGTCTTTTTGACCAAAGGATTTTAATTTTCCAAATACAAAAAAACATTTGTTTTGAAACTTCATTATTTTTCAAATTGTTCTGTACATTCTATTGTCATAAATTGGTTAAATTAGAAAATTGAAAATACTGTTTAATAGTATGTAATAATTTCATGGTATGTTTTTATGTGAAAAAATAGTGCTTTTTATTAGTAAAACACTTAATAAAATTAATTTTTGTTTGACAATACAGAAAAATCTAAGATTTTTTTCTATAATTCATATTAAAAATATGAATTGTATATTTAAGAATATACAATTTATATAATATATAATCTGAATGTAAAGTGTACTAATTTAAAAAGTAGAAATAGTTGTAACTGAACCAAAATAATAACCAAGTACGCCCGTCTTAATAAAAATAATTTAATATACAAATAGTTTAATGTAAAATTTACTATATATCGTACGAGTATCTTAACTTACATTGAGATATTTATAAAATAATTCTTGAAGCAAAATTAAAAATAAACAAAGTAAAAATGGAGTACTGAAGGAAAGGCATGCGCATAAGTTTAAATTCAACTAAAAGTTCTAAAGAAAGCATGTACTCATTTATAATGAGATAGTAAGTATAAATAAATATGAAAAATAAATATTTCGTAATAAAAATAATAATTTGAGTTTTGATGCATTCGTGAATAACATTTGCATTCACTTTAACTTATCCGACAATAAAAAAGTTTATGTATTATAACGATTATCACGAAGTTGCAATATAACTTTAAAACTCTTTTTAAATATCTGGAAATTGAAACAATAAAAACCAATTTCCTATCATAATTATATTAGACAAATAATGAAAAATGCCCAACGAATGATAAAATGAGTTAAAAACTAGAATCATAAACATATCAACCAGAAATTAACTACAATATTTTATGAAAACAAAAATAAATCGTAGTCTCCAATTTCAATGTAATAGCAATTAGAGATCAAAATGTTCAAATTTTCACAACAAAATAGAGAAACCATATCCTGAAATCTCTTTGACTTTCGCTTTAATAATCGAGATTTATAATTATAATCATGAATCACGATAACTAAATAATATTTTAATAAAATTAATAACCAATGCAGAACACCGGAAAAATAAATTAATTTCGCATGACCAAAATTTCTAAAAATCAATTAACTACCAACAAGAATATTGTGTGAATACAATTACCAGGTAATCTAGTGATCACAATGAAGTGATAAAAACTGAACACATAAAATATACAATAATTTCACAGTATCTTAATATCGTAACACGGTTAAAATATATTATAGTAGTGAGTAGTAACCAATTTCAAAAATTCTTTAATTACAAAACTAGCCTAACAATATCATCCTCATTATAATTCACAGAGTTAATCTTTAAAAGACATTTTATAATTTAAATAGGGCACTAACTTAGAATTAATTTATTTAAAAAACAACAAAAATAATCTAAGCATTATAGAAAAATACATATATATTAAATATTATAAGATTCTCTTACACTCGAAATTATATAACGTTAAATTTTGTTAAAAGTATAAATTTTTTTTTCGAGAAACACAAAGTGTATCTAATCTAATCTATGTATTTTATATTACCTTAAAATTTAATTTGAAATCAGATCAAGCTCTCCACACATAGTTTCGTTCTATTGTTCTCAAAAATATAAAATTTAAGCTATTATTTAAATTTCATTATCATTAAATATAAATTAGACAAAAAGAGTTACACATAATTTAATAGAGCAACATTAAATATAATTTTTGGTTCTAACTTAAATATACACATCGTTTTACGTTATCTTGATTGATAGTTAAAAAACTATTAGAAAAACGAATATTTACTAAGAATGAAATTATAAAGTTGTGTAATATGTAACAATTTTTTTTAAGTTGTGTTAATGGTCAAAGTAATATTTTTCTCACCTTACTTAGATAACAACATTTTTTTTGCCCATTAAGGCACTAATTCATTAATAAAATATGAAATATTTAACAACACATACATTTGTCAAGAATTATAATTATTAACTGAAATAATTAAAAGATAAAAATTCAAATATTTCTTGATATAACCCAACCCAACCGCACAACACCATCTAGTGGTTAAATACTAGAATACAATTGTCTACTTTGAAAATAATAATTATGATATTACATATATTTATATTACAGAGATACAATATTTTTCAAGTGGGCGTTTACAAAACTTGCCCTAAAAATATCCTTTAAAAAAATGGAATGATTCACTTTGAATGACAATAGGTGATACATTAGTGATACATATTATAAATTAATTATTAAAGTATGAATAAGTAATCACTTCAATACCATAACCTGTTAAGCTATATCAATTATAAAAACTACTAAAAATAAAATATGTGTATTGTTAATAATATAAAAATAATAACTATTTTAATAGGATAAAGTGGGGTAATGGCAAATGCATTTATTTAGATAAATGCATAAGTTTTTATTTCAAACTTACATCTAATATTTTAGTAACACATAAGTTCAGAACTTTACAATCTAGAATAAAATCTACTTAATATTCTAAAATAAAAAAATTTATTCATAATTATCTCACTCATTTACATTTATCTCATTTCACCCTTTCGTTAAAACATAATTAATAACAAAAATGATTTTCTAAAACAATTTTTAATATTTAAAATAATTAAACAATGCATACATTTTTTTACATTGCACCTACTTTGATTAAAAAAAAATTACTTATATTTATCTTTATGATTTAATCATTCTTAAAATCTAATTTTTATTCAATAAAGAATTAGTTTAATAAATTTTAATTGAATTTATTAAAAATTAACCTATTATTCTGAACTTTTAGTGAAACTCACAAAATTTTTAACTTTACAGTAAATAATATTTGTATACATGTAATTTAGGATGTAATCCAATAGTGCTGTATTAACAACTGTGTCAATAAGTTATAGTTTTCATTGTGTGTAATTTACATGTGTCAAAGACTCTTCTAAAAAACATATGAGAAATGAACTTTTGGAAATGATATCACAGTTATTACTTAAATGAATAGATTATTATTCATGCTGACGTAAATAATCAATGAATGTAAACAACTTAAAAAAAACATAATAAATTATTGTGTTATACTTTAATAGATATTTGCTGGTAATAAAAAAAAGGATTTGGCTTTATTGCCATTGGCAAGAATATTGTACAACACCTATTGACATATTAAAAAGTATAATTAGCAATATACTTATTTAAATATATAAATAAATATAGATTAACTAGCGTGTATATATATATATAACACTATATCTATGTAATTCTAAGATATCTATATAAAAAAATTGATTTAAATAACTAGCCAATAAATTAACTATCATAAATTGCATTATTTTAAATTTACTTTCTATTAATATTATATTAACTACCATCAATCAATAACAATAATGTAAAGTTATAATTTATACTTACGTGTTTAACTCCTTGTTTGATCGATAAGTACTGAAATTGATTTCAATATCTGAAGTGGCAATGTGTATGTAGCTCAAATGAAACAATATTTTATATACAAAAAATACATAATTTTCTTAATACTAATGTTATTGAAAAAACAATATGTTCCATTATAAATAAAATAGAAACTGGGTATTTAATAAAATTTATTTTATGGCAAGTTAAACCAAAATTAATGACATAAAAATATTAAACGCTTTTGTAGAATTTTTTATTAAAATAGATACTACTATACTACCAAAATAGTATAAATTATTAACTTGTGATTAAAAAATTAATAGTTCAAACTTTATAAAAAAGAAGAATTATTAACAAAGTAGTAGTTTTGATAAAATATATAAATAATTAAACCAATAACTTTAGTTTTAAAGTTTAACTGATATGCTATACAAATAGTTTAAGATAAGCTATAAAAATAAAAAATTAAGTATATTTACTCTCTGTCTCTCTGTTATTTTAAAGTTACCTATTAACGCTACAATAAACTATTTAAATCAATCAGAATATTATTAGTCAATTGACATGGTTCCATTTAAGAAGAACTAGTCCAATACAGGCAAAAGTCAGCTAAAAAGTACATACAACAATAAGATAGGCCAGTAAAATCAAACTGGAGTCGTTTCTGCTACTCCTAGATGATGATGGATGAGAGAACTTAATAGTTTAAGTATCGCGATTCACACACGTTAAACAGTTGACCAAAACTATTGCGGTACGAACAATTAAAAAACAATTTTTAAATAAATTTCGAAACAATTGACGCAATTTGCGTATCGTTATCAATATTCACTGAACCGATGACAGGCAGGTGAATGGAGATTAACGAAATCAAAACAAATGCGTATGGTGTTTTTCCCTCCCACTTACGATTTGGAGCCTCAAAACGGGTAGGGGAACATTAGAGGTCTAGTCTCTATTGCTGTCGGCGATGCGCGCGAATCGCCAGTTTTAAAAATAAATCGCCCATAGCTAAAGATATTTTTGTCACAGTCTACATATTAATAATATAATATTTTTTCGGCTTAACTAAATACTCAGACTAAAAAATTTAATATTTTCGGACACTAGTGACAACAGCTGCTGCATCTGGATGGAATAATGCCAATGTTCTTTTAACTTTGATATCTTAATATCAAATTATTGATAACAAAAAATAATAGACGCACGCGATATTTATCATTTACAGTTTTAATGATAATATGTATAATATAAATTGTTAACAATAACGCATTAGTATAAACTGAAATCATGATTTAAAATCCATATAAAAACTATAACTGTGTTATATGTTCCATCACAACCGACCGATTTATAACTTTATATTTTTATGTCATTGCTAATATTTGTTATAATTCTATTGAATTTCATGTCAATCTCAGAAGAATTGAACGGTCCCAACCAAATACAGGGCAACCTATTACAAAGATCTACCCAAAGTATGTTTAATTTTATATAATTAATAAATTGAGAATGCAGTTTTATATTAAATTGAATAAAGAAATTATCACTAACATATCATTCATTATTTATTATTTTTTTATTGACATTACATATTTTAATGTAGCAAACAGAATTACATTAATAATTTAACTGCTTCCTTGAAACGTAGCTTATTTTGGAAGCAGAAACTTATGGCATACAATATCATTTGTAAAAACAAAGGTGTAATAAGTTTTAAAAGTCTAAAAAATAACTACTAAGTTTTGGTTTACATAACCATTATGTTACAACTAACATTAATTTCAAGTTTTATATTAAATTTATCACAATCTTTAAATAATATTCAAAGAATTTACAGATTAAAATAAAGTAAAATAATGAAATTTTTAGAATTCTTATTGATAATTTTTCATTTTATATTTTCAGATTCACCTTATACACCAAAGAAAAGTTTCAATGATAACTTATGTGAATATATATATTTAGAATTAGGAACAAGTAAAAAGGAAATATTCAACTATGTGCATTTAGGACAATCAATTAAATTTAAAAACGGCATTAGTAAGTTGGTGTTCAAAACTATTTTATTTTAAAATAACAATTATGTCATCTATAACTGGTTGTGAACATTTAGTTGAAAAAAAGAATGATGAATTACTAAATAATTATCGAATTGTCCATTCTAACTTTGTATCATGCCTCTATGAAAATTCAAAGAAAGCCAAAAAAAAATTAGCCAAATGTCATGATTGTAAATCTCAAGGTCCAAGGTTGTTATCTTGCTTACACTGTGTATTCTTCGCGTGCAATGCACATTTAATCAATCATTTTTCTGAAACTAATCACAGTTTTGGAGTTAATTTAACATCAGGGCATTTGTATTGTTCAAAATGTGAAGATTATATTTATGATGGTGATATTTTAACTGCAGCCAATTCTTTACATAATGATATTTATAGCTTTCAAAGCAGACCATTAACAGTAAATCATATAAATTTACTGCGCTCCAATAATGATATTAAATATGTTAATAATATACCAGTACCAGGATTTGTAAATTTAGGTAATACATGCTTTTTAAATAGTGTGCTGCAAGTTTTAATGCACACTCCTATGTTGAGAAATTATGTTCTGTCTGATCAACATATATGTGCTTATTTAAAAGATCCTAGTCGTTGCATTTTATGTGAAATTAGTAGAATTTATCAACAAGCTTATACATTAGAAATTAATTTAATTGGGTTACAAAAATTGTTAAAAATATTTTGGGAAAATACAACATACATGGCATCAGCTCTGCAACATGATGCTCATGAATGTTACATTGCTATATTGGATATAATTCATAAGCAAACTATAAAACCTTATGAAAATGATAAAGACTTAAAACAATTAGAAAATTGTCAATGTATAATTCACAAGATGTTTAGAGGAGTGCTACAAAGTGATATAATTTGCCAAAGTTGTGGTAATATCTCATCAAAAATTGATATAATTAACGACATTTCAATATATTTTGCTCTTGACGACAAAGGAAAATATCCATTAAGTATTTCATTAATGGAATGCTTAGAATTATATGGCCAAGTAGAATTATTGAATGACTTAGACTGTACGAGTTGTAAAGCTAAAAAGTTGTCAACCAAACAACTTACATTGAAATATTTACCTATGGTATTATGTTTCATTTTAAAAAGATTTGGACAACCTTCAGATAATGTTTCAAATAAAATTACTACAATAGTTGAATTTCCAGAAACATTAAATATGGCCAAATTTATCGAGAAAAAAACTACAACTGGAAATGAATTTATTGATGAATGTTTAGCTACTTATGAGACAGTGTACAAGTTATATGCTGTAATTTGTCATGAAGGCCAACTTAATGGTGGCCATTACTTGTCTTACATACGGCATCTAGGACATTGGTATCAGTGTAATGACAATATTGTAAGAATTGTAGAACTAGATGATGTTTTAAGAAGCCCAGCTTATTTATTATTCTATCATAAAGAATTCATGAATTTTTATTAGTTAATTTCAATGTCTTTAACAAATTAAGTTGTAAAAATAAAACTAAAATTATTAATATGATTATTGTTCCATTAAAATGCACCAAATTATCCCAATATTAAAATTATTAATTATCATAAGTAAATTTTTATCAGAGATATAGAACTGCATTATTGACTAACATACTTTTTGTGTTAAATAAAATGCAATTTAAGACTTGTTTTTACTATTATATGTACATATGAAAATATAATTTAGAGAAATAGAATTTTATAAATATAATTATATTAATACATTATTTAATATACAAAAAAATGTTGTGTTATAAAATTTAGATTTTTGATATAATAAAATTGGATATTTGTAAATAATCCCATTTAATAAAATATTAATTTCTATTACTGCATATTTGTTTATTTTTCATAAGTGTGAAACATGGTAAATTATTTGAATTTTAATATATAAAACTACATAATTATTATTGCTATTGTATAAAAATGATCAGTATTGTTGCTCAATGCAAATTTTTTTTTTTTAGTTAATTAAAAGGTAATTATTTTTGTAAAATACTATATTTCTGAATAATGTTTTTACTTGTAAAATAATAATTCAAAATTGAAAAAATTGATTTATTTATTTTAAGCAAAAATTTTTTTTTTATTTTATTGCTGTATAAAATTATTTATGTTATAGCTTCTATGAAACTACTCAATACAATTGCTCATTCAAAAAAAATAAACTATGATTTGGAAGCTGATCTTTGTTTGAAACTTTTTGAAACCGATAGATCAAATAGTAAAATTTTACCTGAATTTAATGATAATGATGATACCATTTCAATTGACTCTTTAGTATTTGTTTCATCCCAACTAGAAGAATGCAATTTTAAAGCCCAATTTTTTGTATCTAGGAGCTCTTTCTATGTAAATATTTTTGTTTTGATCTTTAAATAAAATTATTATTCACTACTTTAATATTTTTAGATTATTAATGCACATTTAATGAAAGAGTATGCAAGTACAGCATATAAAAGAACCGATTTAGATGTAGAAAAACATTTATTAATTGCTCTTACATATTTGGGGACCGTTCAGAGTTATAAGTAAAAAAAAAAGCGTATGTAAAAACCTCATTTGGTCTTTAATCTTCATATATATTTTTTATTTTAGGGAAATAGGTGCCAAGTTTAACATAGCTATAAGTACTGCTCATAAATGTGTCAATGATGTTGCTAATATTCTTTTTAAACACATGGGTGAATTAATTTATTGGCCAGTAGATAATCAAGCAGATTTAGAAATTCAAGAATTTTCCAAATTACTAAATAATAAATTTCCAGGCATACTAGGTGTTATTGGAACAGTGGATTTAAAAAAAACTTGTACATCTAATCCAACTAAATATACTAAAGAAGGATCTTCTATTGCAATTCAAGTATTATTATAAATTACAATTTTAGAAAATGTTGTACCTATTTATTTTTTTAGTGTGTGTGCAATAGCAAGTATCAATTTTACAATGTTTTTACAAGTTATTTGCTAAAATCTTCAGTTACTACATCAACATTTTTAGAAAGTCCTTTGGCTGAAATAATTTTAAATGAACCTGACACTCTTTTTCGTAGTAATGATACACATATAATTGGTTCATCATGTTTTCCTCTATTACCTAACCTAATGACGCCATTTTTTGAAGATATAATTGAAAATCCATACCAAAATAAATATAATGAAATTATTAGTGTACCATTGAATACCATCAATTTGGCATTTGGTAAACTTTTAGGACGTTTCAAACGACTGCTGTAAGTTATTTAATATCTTTTTTTTAGCAATTTTTTAAATAATAAATTTTAACACAGGTGCCTAGATTTATGGGGTCAAGAAAAATTTGCTGTTCTAATATTTGCAGCTTGTTGCATACATAATATATGCATGGGGAATGAAGATGACATTGACTGTGAGGCTTATAACTGTTGTTCCTTTAAATGTGAATATTATGATGAGTATAGTGTTCAAAAACGTAATGATATAGTCAATAAATTAAATTAGATTATTAATTTATACTTAATTAAAACAATATATAAATTTTTTTTTTTTTTTTATTGCGTCAGTTTGTAAAAAGCAAAAATTTTATATACATATATATTTTTATAATAATAATAATAATAAATACCTATAATTTATAAAAATTAATAGAACATAAAAAAAAATTTTAAACTGGAAGTCGAGATACTAGCTGTTGTAGCAATTTTAACTTTTGTGTTTCCAATTCATTTGACTTTTTTAGAGCTTCTAAAGTTTGATGTTGTAAATTTTCAAACATCTTTTCCCTTTTGGATAAATTATCTTCCATTTCTTTAAGTCTGAAAATCATTTTTTTAATATTACAAACTATAATTGTGACTCATTTATAACAATAATTATTAAAAAATTAAGTGCACTAATATATGAAAAATATAAGTCTCATACATAATTTAAAATTATTAAAAGAATACCTTTTGTCAAATTCTAAATTCCTTGTTTGGAACATTTCTTTAATTTCTGAAAATAAATCTACCTTGTTAGTTAAATTTGTTTTAGAAATATTTTCATCAACCATGTTTGGACTTTCTAATATTTCATTATATCCATCATGAGGTTTATTATCTTTGTCACATTTACTGTCTTTGTTTAAATCTAAGTGAAAATAATGAGGGCATTGTTAAAAATAAAAAACAAAAAAAACAAAAATTTACCTCTTAATACTGAGTTAATTTTCTCATAATATACCCATACAACTTTTTTATTTCTTTCAGCACGACTTTTATTTTTATTATAACGATTTTTCAATGTTCGCCATTTATTATCGCATGCTCTTGGGGTATAATCATATCCATTTTGCAACATTTCATTGGCTATTTGTCTCCATATTAAAAGTTTTTCACCAGTGGCTGCTTTCATAAATTTATCCTTATGGCGATCAAAACTCTCAATCAAACACATAGTTGAATCCATACTCCAGGCAACTAAAAAGTATAAAATACAACATAAGTTTTGTTGAAAAGAAACTTTTTTTTTTTTTAGTTTAAAATAAAAATAGTATTTTACCACTCTCAATAGGTGCTCGAAGCAATCGATCCATATCTTGATAATACTGCCATTTGATGAAATTAGTTCCAATTTTTTTATATTTTTCTTTTCTTTTGAGATAATTAGCTTTTAAAAGTCGCCATTTACGATCACATACAATTCCAGAATAATTGTGGCCATTCTGTCGTAGAACTTCACTTATTTCATTCCATAATATACGTTTTTTACCTTGTGCAGCAATTAAAAATCGAGATCGGTATAAACCCCACAACTGAATAAGTTGCTTTGTAGCCGCTTCAGTCCATACATCTAGAGAACCTAAAAATAAAATTATCATTGTTCCTATCATTACATATAAATTATCAACTCATCAATATATTATGGGCATGAGAACATAAAAAGTACAATAGAACTGAAAGTATAATAGTAAATAAAAAATATTGATATAAGCAACTAAATCAATAACTAAAAAATATTTCATTTTCCAAAGTGATATACAGGTATCCTATCATCATCAGATTTTGAAACCTTTTTATCCACCAAATATTTTACATCAAAAGCATAATTATTATTATTAGTCTCTCATAAAGAAATGATATTTTTTTTCATAAAAATTCAAAATAACCATTTATTAGCTTCAATGCAAAGCTGAGAAAGTATTAATTTTACTATGTTTTTTTTTTTTTTATTTGAGTCTTACCACTTTTTCTCAGCTCTCACCAATCCGATTTCTTTCAACGATACGTCAAAAAATAAAAAATTGTATCTAGTCAAAGATATTACCCTCAAAATTGTTGACATTTCTCTCAATCCCCATAAATGGGAGAAATTTCCAAAAAAATTACAAATTTAAAAATCACTAATTGTTTTTAATTTTTTTACTTAAAACTGCCATAACTTTTTTAAAAATAACCAAATCAATATAATTTTTTTTTTTTAGATGCATAATGTCTTTACCTATTATTTAGTATACATTTTTTTATAAAATAACAACTTTTTCACAAAAAATTAATTTTTTCAACTTAACTTATGAAAGTGTACCAGAAAGTCTGACACTTTTATATATATCTTAAATTAATGACAATGTAATATAATTTTTGATGGAAAAAAATAATTTCTACTTTATCTACTTTATACTTTACTTTATCTTCACAGTGAAAATGGTTACCAAATGCTATTTTTGTGTGAAAATCCTTGATTTTATATTTTACATTTTTAACTTTATAATGCTATAACTTATTGAAAAGTTTATGGATCAATACAATTTTTTTATTAGAAATAATATTTATATCACTCTTTCATTCAACATACTTTATCTTGATCAAGATATAAATAAGGAAATAGCAGATCATGTAGCTTTTGGAAATATTCACCAATTTTTTAAAATTAAACACTATCTACAGATTTGCATCAAAACATCTCTTATAATAGTGATTTTAATCACTGTCAAATATCATTATACTTGACCCAACTATGTCACGTCACCACTGTACCGCGACCCCCAGTGCTGGGTTTTTTAATTTTTTTTTACTTAAAACTACCATATGCTATTTTTGTGTTAAAATTTTCAATTTTGTATTTTATTTTAATATAAAAAACCTTACAAAGTTTTTGAGTTGGAAAAAAAATTTCAATTTGTTTGTATTTTATCTCATTTATTAGATTCAATAACTTTAATGAATATCAAAGACCTCATCACAGTAGTCTTTCCTCATTTGAAGAAATTTCTTACTCATATTAAAGATTTTTTACTTTATGATTTTTTTTATGGCTCTCATTTATTTTCTCAGCTCTCAATTGGCCAACTTTTTTTAAAGATACATCAAATGATCACAACTATTATCTAGTTAAAAATATTACCCTCATAAATTAAAAAACTTTCCACTTTATCAATTAAAAAGTTACTAAGCTCACATTTTCCATATAGACAATTTAAATCATTCATTTTTGAAGTATTTATTGTCGAATTAGGTTTGATATGATAATAGGTTTCAACTACTAAATTAAATAACTGTACTTTGTAATATATGAATTTTTTAACTTTATTTCTGTGTGTTACTAACATCTATAATATTCCAAATTTTTTAGTAACGTGTTGCTATATAAATCATTAATATAAAAAAAAATGATTTTTAGTTTCACCTGAATTTAACAAAAAATATTTACAATAATAATCAAATTTTATAATGCACTCGATAGAGTAGATTTTTTTAAAAACATTTTGATTGGTTTTTTTAGTTAAAATAAATCATTAAAATTAATTAAGTTCTGAATATTTCAATTGAAGAATCTTTTTAAACACTAAAAATTACTTAGAAATGATTACTATAATTTATATTTAAATGATCTATTGCGATAAAAATGCAAAAAAAATATTAATCTTTTCTGATAAATTTTCAGTAAATAGTAATTATACAATTTTCTGACTCCATATTAATCTTAAGAAAACTATTTTTTTATTCTGATAAAATTTTCTATTCAATAAAATAAATTTCAAACTTGAAGTTGAGTTAAAAGTAATGGTAACAAATTCAACTTTTTTTTATTATAAACTTTCAAAAAATTAACTTTAAAAGACCAAAATTATAGGTTAAAAATATTTTGCACTGATTATTTTAAACATTTTAAAAATCAAAATCTGTAATAATTTAAAAACAATTATTTTTTTTTATTGTAATACATTATTTCAAAAGAAATATTAATAATTTCTATGTAACTCTTGGTGTTTAAATAGATGATGCAATTGAAATATTCAGAACTATTTTCCTTATAGTTATATCATATAGTTTTTAACTAATTAGTAGTAATAATATCAAAAATTATTGGTGATAGGAGAAATATAATTGTTGATTTGATATTAGCACGAAAAAAATAGAATAATAAAAGTATATTTTTGACTCTGATGAAAATTTTTTGCATACTATTCATAGTTAATAACAAATCATTATCTAAAAAGTTCTGTGTCAAGCCCTTTAATTTTTATACATGTTTGCCATGTATAAATAATACATCATATAATACATATAAATCCTTTATAATTTTTTATACATTCTCTGAAAAAATTACAATATTAAATTATTAAATATCAATTTCATACAACATTTTATTTCTTTAATAGATAATTACTTATAAACTATACTTATAAAGCAACTACTAATTAGGAATAATGATAGAAATAGGAGTTAATTATGCTTTAGGAATAATCAACCAATTTCTTAAGATTAAAGATTATCTACAGATTTTCATGAAAGCTTTTATGATAGTGATTTTAATTACTGGCATATATCATCTATACTGGACCTAACTATGTTAAGTCCCAATGTGCTTGGTATTTTTTTTATTATTAATGCTGTTTAACGTCCCCTCTAAAATCTATTGCTTATGCCAGATGATGGGAATACCTAATAACCTAGTGCAACAAAATCAAACCCTAATACCTATGTATTGGTAGCACAATGTATTACTAGCTAGGCTAAGTAGCTAGCTAATTTGTTAGCTCATCTTTTACAAAATCTTTGTTTATAACAATTTTAGGATAAGTATTCACTAAATTACAAGTATTTTTAAATACTTGTAACTTATAAGTAAAAGGCTAAATAATAATGATAATTTAAAAATGTTGATAAAATTAAAAAAAAAATTTTTATGAGTGAAATAATAAAAACATGCTCTAACATGGTCCATAACTAAAAATTATTTTTAAAAAGTAATGTAAAATATTTGCTGAATCAGAATTAAGATGACCGAACTTGGTGAGACTTCTTAATATATTAGTTTTGATATTATCCATTAAATGTTTTAGTGTACCAAAAAATTTTATAGAATAATTTAACTATTAACTAACTTTTTGGATTAGGAATTTAATTTAATTTTTTTTTTTTAATTTGTTTTTATTTGACAACTCTTAAATAGTAAAAATATGATCAGTGTTATATAGGAGTGTTTTTTAATATTTTGAAATAACATAAAATTGTCAATAATCATATGATAACTTAAAAATTATTTTTTTATATATAAAATTATGTTTTAATCATAAATTACCATGATTTTTTAAAATTATGTTACTATTTAAACATTTTTTTTTAAGTTTACTATAAAAAAAATCTTTTTCCCATCCATTCATAAATTTACAGCTGGTATTAAAGGTTTGTTATAATCATAATAGGCAATATGTTAATTACTATTTTAATAATACTGAACTGCTATCTAACAAAATTGCAGTTTTACTATTATATGTACCTGAAGACATAGTTTCAACATCATTACTTTCAAAATTTTGTATACTTCTTTCAGAAGCTGTATTATCACCTGTATCATCAAAACTCATATTTTCTTTTTTCATTTCTATTAATTCATTATCATCAGACAAGGAAATTGTAATTATACCATCCATTTCAGATGCTATGACAAAAATAACACCAAAATATATTAATTTATTTTAATATACAAGGTGATTGTTAAAATATGACTTACACACGCAATATCTTTAAAAATATGAAATATAATATTATTTTTTTTTTTTTTGGAAATAAATAGTATCCTCCTATGTTCTATAATTTTCAAAAAAAATTGTTCCTATTCTTTATCCTCTTTAAAATTTAATCAACTTTTAATATAGAAACATAATGTTTAAGAAACTTACAAATTAGAAAATGATCTATCTAAGAATATTACTAATTAATAAAAAAACTTTTGGACGAACATATTGTAAGTTACTAACTCTTTAATATAAAGCCTGGAGGTGAAGCACGGGACTATTTAATTTTATCTATAGGTATTAATGAACCACACTACTCCTCCCGTCCTATAAAAATGATGATATATTTTAAGTTGGTTAAATATACAGTTCCATTAAAAAAACTGATATTTTATATAAGATAAGAACCAAATTGTTTTTTGGAAATTATAGAACATAGAATACTGTTAACTATTGATAAGAAAAAATTATATTATGTTTTATATTTATAAGATATTGTATGAATCATAGTTAAACAATCACTCTGTTTATAATTATAGAAAAAAAAAGATAAATTTACATATATTAATAAAGTTAAACTGTTAGACTATTTCCATTAAATTGAAACCCGGTACTCTAAAATAGAATTTTTTTTGATATAGTAGAATGGAAAATATTAGAATATTTGAAATGTTATAAACCAACCTAAAATATATAACATTTAATTTTCAAACATGTTTTATTACAGAATTTTGCATAATTTTTTCTATTCTGTAAAATAATACTCACAAAAATTATCATTTCTACCACTCTTTTATGAGACTATTGAAAGCATATTACTTTTCAAATACCTTTATTTAATGTGTAATTTGAATAAAAATACTCAAAATTTACTACAATTTTTATCAACTATTAACAAAAAGATGATAAGTACCTGGTATTTTAATTTGAAATATTAAATAAAGATTTGTATATAATTTACATACATTCATGGGAAGATTTGAATATTTTATCCATATCATTAAAAAAAAACCATTTAATGTGTTGTGGACCATATTTTGAAGCGCGTAGCTTATTTTTTTTATAAGACATTTTTAGGTTACGCCATTTATCATTACAAGAATTAGCAGGGTAATAAAAATCCATTTGAGCTAACTGTCGAGATATATCTTCCCATAACAAATGTTTTTCTCCTTGACTTGCTGATGCAAATTTTTTTTTATCTTTACCATATAATTTAATTAATGCTCTAGTAGAATCAGTTGACCAATAAAATTTATCATTTCCCCTAAAACCTGAAATTAAAACTTAATTATTTACGTAATTTATAAATTATGAACTTTTTTACTGACTATTAGGATCTGAATTATCATTTTTATTTGGAATATCAGCAGTCAAATTTTCAATACTGCATTCTTCAATTTCATCATCATCAACATCTATAAAGTATAAAATATTTATGTACTGAATGTGTTAAAGTTCTCATGGATTGTGTAGTTGAGTTCTGACATTTCGGACTCAACTACAAACATGGATAAATTTTTAAGCACTTCAAGCAATATTTATGTACATAGAACTTTTATAAATCTAAATAAATAAAACTACCTGAAATCTCAAATGAAGTTCCATTAAGTGCTTTATCCATGTCATTATAATAAGGCCATTCATTTTTACTATTTTCTGGCTTGTGATTTTTATTAAACAAATAAACTTTTTTAAGGCTACACCATTTATTCTCACAAGAAAAGGCATCAAAAAAATGACCATTTTCAATCATGCGCTCCGAAAGAATTTGCCAAACAGCATTCTTATCTTCATTAGGGCAATTATTAAATTGATTTCTTAACTGGCTCCAAAAATGTATTAAATAACGAATTTCATTATGATGCCAATTACCTAAAATATTTATGTAAAAGTCAAAATAAATAATAATATTTTTTAACTAAAATAATTTTAATTAATCCAAATGAAAAATAACATAACATTTTATTTAAAATCTTAAAACAATATTTAAACAAAAGAAAATATAATTAATTTCATAAAAAAATTAATATTAGTACATTAATATTTTATATGGAGACAAAGAATACTGTGTTTTATATTTACAGATACTAAGTATGAAAATAATCTAAATCTGTTTTATGAATTTTTAGTAGTATAATTATCATAAGTTAATAAATCACCAGTAGATTGTTCAATATCAGTATCATAGATTTCTTGAACATCACCATCAGCAAATTCTTCAAAATTATTTTCTTCTTGGTCATTTATTACAACTAGTAATCAAAAAATTAAATACCAATAGTAAACAAACCAAAATATCAAAAGTTTAATGTAATCTAAATATACACATTTTTTATATTTTATAATATTACAACAAAGTTGTAATATTATAAATTATTATATTTTTATATATTATTTTATTTATTATTTTAAATGAAAGAAGTAAGTAACTAATTTTCTTAATCTTTTAGAGAAGAACTTTAAATTCTTTCAAGATTTTTGATTCAATTAAAGAAAGATGAGTACTTTGTTATATGTTCATCAATATTCATTATTTTTAATCACCTCGTTCATAATCATTATCTAGCATCTCATCATCTGTAATATTTATTTGTTCGTAAGTTACATCATCTTCATCTTTGACCATAATTGAAAATCAATATACTTATTTTCCTAAATATAATCCAATCAAGATTAGTTTTCATCATATATATACTTAAATGAATTAATCATACTTTTAAGAGAAAAGCAATATTTTTATAGGTTTTCAGAAGGGTAAAAAACTATTGTAGTTTTTTTTTTATAATTGAAACAATTGTACCCCATTTCAACGCTTTTTGATAAGTATTATTTTTTAAAACTAGTAGGTTTAATTTTTGTTGTTTTACAGACGATTTATTACAAAAAAGTTAAAATTTTAATCAATATATCTAAAACATTTTTTTTAAATTTATTTTGGAGATTATGCCCAAATTATATTTAATTTATTCAGCCTTTAGTTCTTTATTTATTTCTATTGTTGTTTAGTCCTTATAATCAATAATTTTGAGGTTCATGCTACAAAATTTATAAATTGAATATAAATATATAATTGCTCATCAAAGTAACACTTAAAAACCAGTTGACTTAATCAATCAGCAAGCAAAATCTCATATTTTTTAATATTTTGTAGTTAAATTTCTAGAGCATTTCGAAACTTTTTGTTTATTTTATGGTTTCAAACAGTTAATCTAGGCATATCAGAAAAGGTTAGAAGTAACACAATTTTTGCATACTAATCATTAGTTATAAGTATCAGAATTTTTCCACAAAAAAAAAATATTAAAGCTATCCATCATTTTAATAATATTAAAAATACTCTTAATTACGAATTAAATTATAATTACAAATAATATACATAAACAGTTCTTTTACCAGTATTCAATTAATAATGAAGTTATGGAGGAAAAAACTCAACAAGAACACCTAAAATAAAATATATTAGCCAAATAAAGAAAGATAAAGGAATCATTTCTTTACAAAATGGTACAAGATATAGCTAATGACAGGAAAAAATAAAAAAAGCTTTTGTTGCGAGTGTAAAAAAAAACAATCTTCGGACGAGGCCTAAATACAAAATTTTGCATTTTTAGTTAAGACATCATTTAAGCGCGAAATTCATGATTCACATTTTCGAACACGAAAAATAAACACAACAAAACGATCGGTGACGACACGGAACTTACCACTCGGTAAAACACATATGTTTCGTTCAGATTTCCTTGATCGAATTCACAATAAAACATTTCAGTTAAAAACACTTGATAAAGAATTAATTCTTCTCATTATTTTAAATAATGTAAAATAATATTTACCAAATTCCATCAATAAAAACACACAAGAAATTTATTAAATGATTGAGAATTTAATCAAAATTGTAATATAATAACTAAAATGTATGGTTACTGATAATAACGTAACGCAACAACTCGCACTAGGCGGTTACGTAACATGCCAGGCATGATAGTGTACACCGAGGAAAACCACTAAACGACACAACATTTAAAACATGGAAGAAATTCAACTCTTTTGTAAATATATATCTATGAAAGAACAAATGTAATGACATTGATATATTGAACGTACAATTTTCAAAAATGTTTAATTATTGCCAGAATGCCCTAATAGTATTTCAAAATTCAAACCCGTGCTTTTAAAATCAATCTAATCACTGATCTTAATTTAACTGAAATAAAGGGAACTTCTGTTTTCTTAGGAAGAGACCATAAAAATTTATAGTTAACCGATCAATTTTGTTAATATTGTAGTATCAATTCGATAATAATCTGAACACCTTATTGCTTTAAAATAAATCAGAAAAAAAACCTTTATTGGCGAATCACTAACTGTAATAGACATAATCTCTCAAAAAGATTTCTAAATATTTACGAATACTATTGAATTATAGTAATCAATAACGTATATTTGAAAATGCCAAACTAAATTAATTTGATAATTATTTTTGTACGAGTGTGAAGCTACCAATTCCTGGTCCACCAACTTCTTGTCACTAACAAAGTTCGGTTACCAATATATTATACAGTATAATGCTTTTTCTTACTGATAGATGTAGACACATGATACCAAAAACCATATTTAAACTAATGATGGGAAATATCGAATAGTAACTATCGAACTATTCTACAGTCATTTAAAAACTATTCGAATAGTAAAAATATTCGATAGTTACACATATATTTGAATAATTTATTCGAATAATTTTTAAAATATTTGATAGTTTATAATAAAAATAAAATATTCGGTGGTATAAACACAATTCGAACATAATTTACAAACGTAAAAATTTAAAACGCGCTGTCCCTTTATCGGTGTTATGCCTTTGCAAGACAAAAGAGCAAGTAATGCTTGACTAAGAACAGTTTACAAGGTATTAACTGTAATATAAGACTTTAGTATTTACGAATACTTATGTTGCGCATAGCACAAACCTTTCCGATAAAACTGAAAATATATCATTAGTCATTGAANAAGACAAAAGAGCAAGTAATGCTTGACTAAGAACAGTTTACAAGGTATTAACTGTAATATAAGACTTTAGTATTTACGAATACTTATGTTGCGCATAGCACAAACCTTTCCGATAAAACTGAAAATATATCATTAGTCATTGAAAAAAAGAACTGCTTTTTAATTTTCGACCCATATTTATCAGTTTTTACTAACGACTCACAAACTAAAAATAAATAAAATGGTACTTTTTACTATTATTAATTGTATAATAATTTATTTTAAGTATTCGCTATTTATCTTCTTATTATAATTAAGTGTACTTAATAAAAATTTTAGATAGAACTAATCGAATATTTTTTGAAACCATTCGCTAGCCCATTTAAATATTTTTTAAAACCATTCGCTAGCCATTTAAATATTTTTTAAAACTATTCGATAGTCTATGCTAAAAGCACACTATTGGGTTGTATAAAAACAATTCGAATAGTTATTCGATAGTTTTTTAAAACTATCGAACACTTTGGTTCTGACAGCGTTTTCATCGCGGGTCCGAGTATCATATTTGTTTTATAATTTTTTGATCTTTTAAGTATCCTTGTATTTTTGAAAATTAAAAAATTATTTGGTATGTTTAATACCGAAACATTTATATTTGTTGTCAAAATTGAGAAGATTATTTGGAATCCAATTAATTTTCTCTCTTTATATTTACTTTGAAAACAGTTCTGTCACGAAGGGTTCATATATAGTTATATACAATTGCATAAGTTTCTGAAGTGCAGGGTAGGCTGAGGTAATATTATTAACAGCGTAATCCAAATTAAAATCAATGGAGATGCATAACTATGTTCACTAGTCTAGGAAATGGATTTTTATTTTGCTCATCAATTTCATTTTTTTTGAACAAATTTTATTTGTCCAATATGAATAAAAATTTATTTTTTTAAAAAATCATTAATCAGATCAAAAATAAAAATAATTAAATTTTTTAATCGCAGCAACTCCTCAGTATTTTGCCAGCCTTCGTACTATGCAATCTGCTACATATTTATCCAATTCCCAAAGAGGTAAAATTAGTCCAAATAATCAATTTTTAACGTCTCCAATTTCCCATATTAATTCACGGTATACAAAAAATAATTATTCTTATAAGAAAGCGCAATATCGCAATGATAATTAATTTATAATTATTTATTTCAACAATATTTTGTTATTGGACATTGTTTTAATTTTAATCCGAGAGGTCCATTTTACTTTTTTTGTTACTAATGTTTATTGTATATAAAACGTACATAAATATTGCACAACAAAAAAAAATGTTTTATATTATTTTTAATTGTTTATATAAACATATACAAGACGCGAAGGAGTGTTATTAGTATAAATATTTATTTATGTAAACATCTATATTTGTTTCTTAATACCATCCTTATTTAGTAAATTAAATAATAATAAAAAATCTTAATTTTAATCGTCTTAATTAAATATATCACCAAATTTATTTTTTTGGAAAAAATATGTGTTATATGATAACATTTATTAGTAAAATTATAAAAAAATGAACCAAAATATGATACTCGAGAAAAGAACAAAACTATACAAATGTAATATGAATTAATAAATATATACAGAGTGTTCAGTAAGTTTCTATTGTTCTCATTGTTACAAACAATGAGAACAATAGAAACCCGTTTCCTGACTTACTGAACACCCTGTATAATAAATACATAAATATTTTTGCTAAATTTAAACTAATAAATTATTGACCCTCAGTGTAACTGTGAAAAGTTCATCGGGTGAAATAGATATAACCTTAGAACATCTTGCTTCTTAAAATTATCGCCTACAAGTTGTTACAACACAATAAAAAATAATATCGAATATTTTTTTTTTCTTGAAAAAAAGTTCAATCGTTAATTAAATTATAAATAATTTATTAATACAGAATTTGTTTTGTACGAGGCAGCTAGACCGTAGAATGGTTTCTTATATTTTCTATACATATTCTGAAAGCTTATAAAATACTCTATATATGGTGTGAAAAGCTAATTGGTGAAATATGCAGGTGTAATTTAAAATAACAATGATATACAGCAGTAATAACAGTTCATAGCGTATAAACGCACCAACTCGGCCACAGTAATTTGCGATTTTGACAATGTTCCGAGACGAGTCTAGATATTTTCTATACATATTCTGAAAGTTTATAAAATACTCTTTAATATAATATTAAATGCTTAGTTGATAAATTCTGTGGTCGCCCACAATTATCCGAGTTGGTACGTCGGTATATACGTTAGTAAGTGTATTTATAATCTCACCGGCCGTCAATCTTTTTTTTTTGTTGTATGACCGTGAATGGGTTTAAATATGTTTTTTGGTATTATGTGTCTACATCAATCGATAAGAAAAAGCGTTATACTGTATAATATATTGGTAACCGAAATTTGTTAGTGATAAGAAGTTGGTGGACTAGGAATTGGTAGCTTCACGCACGTTATTTTTGTTACATTAGCTACTCGAAATTACAACTTTGAAACGTTAAGTTTTTGTTAAACATACTACCTGTATAATGGCTTTAAATAATTCCATCAACTTACATGAATGCTTGGAACTTGTTACAAGACTTTCACGACAAGCAGGAAAGGTATTAAAGTTTTAAATAAGTTTATACTATTTCATCTTCTATAAAATAATAATATAGGAACAAATCTACTATACGGGACACCTTTTTTTTTCACAACGTTCGTTTTTTTATGCTTTTTTCAAGTGTTTGAAAAAATTGGCGGAAACTTTTGGTTCAAAAGTTATAGCATTTTAAAGTTATACGTCATTGGACTAAAAATAGCTCCAAAATTGTTTTTTGTTAATTTTCGGGTTTTTTTTTCATGAAAATATTGTGAAACTACAATGACATAACTCATAAGTAATTTTTTCTTTATTTTTATCCAAAATTCGCAATACAAAAAAAATTGGTTTTTCAAGAGCTATTACTTAATTTTCGTATACAATAAAAAAAATGGGTATGAGTGAATACGTAATTACATGAAACCCAATTAATTTAAGTTGAGCAAAAAAAAAAAAGACCACAATGTAGTGTGATTTGGTGTGTCTTTGTAGTTAGTTCAATAAAATAACGCGAAAAGAAAAGTTTTTACTCTATATTAGGTATACTAAATAACACTTGTTAGAAATAATAAAAAAATTTAATTACAATTGATATTGAAATTTTAGTATTCAACTTAATACCATTTAAAATATTTGCATCTTTGTTGGTTTGAGCGCGACTTTGCACAACAGTAATACAGTCTATCCTTATTACTCCCTGAACTAGTTGTACATAACGATGCTTAACATAAACACTATGTATTGTTATAAAGATAACAGATTGCGACGCTTGCTAGTTTTATGAAACGACTACCCGTTGACAACTTTCTGCTTGAAACTTAGCATCTTTTTAACGCTGAATCAATGTTTCATTAATATTATGTTTATAAAAATGCTTCTCAATTTGGTATAAAATTTAAAACTAAAAAAACGAAATAACTTTAAAGAAAAATTATAGATTTTTATAACCTATATTATTAAACTACAATTGCAACTTTAAAAATTTAATTTAAAATTTAAAATAACTTTTTAAAAAAAAGCTCAAAAATGTTTACATATTCTTAATCTGCATAAAAAAACGAACATTTTGAAAAAAAAAAGGGTGTCCCGTAAAGTAGATTTATACCTAATTTTAATTTCATTATAATAAAGATAAATTTTAATTAATTTTTATGATTTAAGTGGACATTTATCTTTTGTTAAGCTAAAATGTTAAAGTAGCCTATTAAATTGAAAATTTGTTACATTAATGTTTGATATTACTTTTGTAATACTTGTAGCTGATTAAAACGAGAATCAACCAAAAGAAAATGATTGAAACTAAAGCTACCAGCTTCGATTTTATGACTGAAACTGATCAAGAGGTGGAAAGAAATGCTGATTGAAGGAATAAAACATAAATATCCAACACATAAGTAAATTCCATTCATTAATTTATACTATTAAAATTATATTATATATTTCATATTATTATTATAGTGCTCAATATTTTTATTTTATTTTTAAGATTCATTGGTGAAGAATCATTTGCAGCTGGTATTAAAGAAAAATTACAAATAAACCTGCTTGGGTTATTGATTCTGTTGATGGTACAACAAATTTTGTACACGGTTATCTTTGTATGAATGTTTGTATATCTATTGGTTTAGTTATTGATTGTGAGACCTAATTAGGAGTTATTTATAACCCAATATTGGATATGTTTTTCTAAGCTATAAAAGGTGAAGGTGTTTTCCTAAATGATGAGCTTATCCATATAAGTAATTCAAAATGTAAGTGATAATTTTACTACTATACTATAATATGCTACTACTATGAACATGATAACATTTTATAGGTTTAAAAGACTCATTGGTTTCAATTGAACGTGGAGCAGTTAGAACTGATGAGTTTCGATCTATAGTTAACCACAATGTTACTTATATGGACAAAAATGCACATGAGTAAGAAAATTTTCTTTTTTTCTTAATCTTATTTGATTACACTTATATAGTTGGTTGAAATAATAAAGAACTTTTAAATACAAGTAACAGTTAGGATCTAAGCAATATATATATTTAAGAGATTAAGATTAATCAATTTGTAAAAATGACTTAAAATGTTTTCCCTTTAAGTCTTGAAAACATTAAAAGAAAAACTAATCATTAATTTATCTACTTATAATAAATATAATGACATTTTTTTTATCATTTATTGAAGTTGCAACTGTGAATTTCATTTAAAATGAGAAATTCTTATTTTTATAACAATTTTCTTTTTAACAATATTTTTAATTAAGCTTCCCCTAGCTGCGGTTGTCCTTACAGATAAACCACTGATTTCAATAGGAGTAAATAACTATGCTGAACATAATAAGTGTTTTGCAGGAAAAATATTAATCTAGAAGTAGTTAAACAGAAAAATAGTCCACATTTGTAAATTAAATAATAATAATAATATGACTACTTAAAATACTTACGTGTATTCACTATTTAAACTTCATAATAACTTACTAATTATTATTATTATTATTATTATGAAAGAAAACATAATAATTAAAAACAATCTTTATATATTGTATTATTAGTGAAAACACTACATGAACTGACATAAACAAAATTGAAATACACAAACTAAAATTATATCATTCAAAAACTATGCAAGTGTGCTTAAAAAAAAAGCTTATAACTCAATCAAATACCAATAGATTTCATCAAAATATTCATGATGCTTTTGAAATATCTTTGGGTAGACTTAGTAAAAATTCCAGTTTTTAAACAAAAATATGCTGGTGGCAATAAGTGTTTTTCCTAAAATTTTTAAACTCTCATGAAGTACTAAAAAAAATGTTTATATTCGCAAATAATTTTTTCTGAATAATGTTGCCACATTCTTTTATTGAAATAAAAATTTTGAGAATCTGATATTTTCAAATAATTTTTCTAGCATTGGCTAATTTTTCAATGTTGTATTATATAATAAGATTACTTGGTAAAAATTTGCTTAGTAATAAATTATTTTTAAGTTGAAAATAATTTATATTTTTCAGAATACATTCAGGGGATTAGCTGCTTGGAATTTAGCTATGGTTGCGAAAGGTGCCTGTGATTTGTTGAAATGGGACTTCATGCATGAGATATGGCTGCTGGAAATAGAATTATTAAAGAAGCTGAAGGTGTAATAGACCCTGCAGGTATTTTTATTTTACATTTCTTTAAATTTAAAAATCTTTTAATATTTGTTATTTTTTACAGGTTGTGAATTTGAATTGATAAATTGCAGAATACTTGCAGCAGTATCAAAATAACTTGCTGATGAAATTTATTCTAACTTAAAACAATATTTTCCAGAACATGATTAAGTATTAAGAAAATATGTTTATAGAGCATACTCATTAAAAATTGTACTTTTTCTTTGACTTTTTAAATAAATATATTTATTTACACATTTGAAATTATGTAGTCATTTAGGTGACCTATGTAGTTTAATTGAAAACACATGCCACAATGGAAAAGTACCATTATAATAAGCTATGTAAGTTTTCCTATCCTTTGTGGCACACAGACTAATATGAGCTGCAGAGTGGTTTGCCCTTATAGAAATTGCTACCATAAAAAAAGTGATGAGGAAAAATATATAAAAGTTAAATTTGAGATAAGCTCTTGAAGTTTATTTACCCCCCTTTATTCTAGACTTGTTGGCACAAGTAATAGGTTTTAAAAAAATACTTCAAACATAATGAAAAATAACTTGATTGATGAACTATTTTTAGTTAAAATGAAATTACATTGTATATTTAACTAGTTTTATTACTTAATATTAATATACTTATAAAAAATTGTATACTATGTGTTCAGTAAAGAGTTGCTATTTTTACCAAAATATTCATTATTCATTTTTGGTCTTTTGATTACTATTTTTATTTTTATTTAGTCAACAAATAAAAAAAAAATCAATTACTCAAACAGTTTTTCTTTATTTCATTTTTTCAAAAATAAAGGGAGATAATCATAGTGAAACAAACAACATTTTCACCTTTATTAAAAGATATTTTATTTTACTCATGGTTAATTATCGTACTAAAATATTTCAACATTTATAAATATTGAATATTATTACTCAGATTTTAATAATAGTATCAAGTTTGTATGTATGTATACAATATATTTAATTGTCTAATCCAAGTCAATAATTTAGTCAGTCCTTCTCACCAATAAATTAAGGTGTTAATAGATTGTTTTTGTAAACTCAAGCCAATGTTTCCCCGTTTTGAGTCTTTTATCAAAACATTGATATTCTTACTTCGTCTATAAAAGTATTAATTTTATTACGATTTATATATTTTTTGTAACACTATTAAATTATTGTTAATATTTATAATATTCGTTAAAATTAATTGAACTTTAAAAATGCTTCATTTATATAGTGTTATATGATATTTAAACACTAAATCTATCTTAAATAATTCTCTTTTTATAAACACCTTACACGGACGAGTCATTTTGCTAACTACAATATTTAGGTGGATTTTGATTCTAATTCCAAATCTATCTTATGATTTTTTCCATCACATATAATTAATATTTATATCTTTATTAAATATTTACAAAAAATTAAATAAAAAAATATTTGACACACAAAAATGTCTTGATCAAACCCTTCCTAAACTTAAGTTTTCTATTAAAGTTTTATAAATAGTATATCAAAAGAAAGGTTGTTGTCTCTAATACATTAAGTTTAAATTTTACAATTTATTTTTCATAGTTATTCAAAAGTTATTGTAATTTTAAAACGTAGAAAAAAATTCCAATTTTTTCCATTTTTGCTGCTTAATGTTTAGATACTTTTTTAAATGTAAAAAACAAAACAGTTATATTTTTTAATTTCTTACAAAATCATTTGACTTTTGGCAGCAATTTCATAATTATGAATGTAACCAAATAATAATTATAATAAAAAAATTTTTATCTGAAAAATGACTATCAAACTCAATTTTAATGATCTATAAAAAAATAATCAATTTTGAGAAATATACCAATATATCTCAAACATCAAATTTTTTTTTTTATATTGTTAAATTACATAAATTACATTGAGCAAGTTAAAAAAATTTTATTTTCAGTTTTTTATTATGACTTAATTGTTTATTTGTCACCAAATTAGTAATTATCTTAAAAACTATGTGATAAAAAAAAATCTGAAGTCAGATTCGGAATCAAAGCCATATCCCTTACAGAGTTTACATAAACATAGTAGATAGTAGAACATTTTTCATTATTTTTGTCTTGCATTATTAATTTGATAAAAAAATAAAAGCTATTTTTTAAAAATTACAAACCGTTTTGTTCCTCAATTGTTAACTACAACGTCTTCAAATGTTTTATTAAGTATAAAAATATGTACTAATATTACCAAGAAGGTAATGCGTAGATATTTTTTTAATAATTATTTTTATAAATTAATACTTAGAGACACTTATTTTAAAATTATACCTGTTATATAAAACTATTACAATTGCACCATCTGGCCTCTTAAATCCAACAGATTTTATAGCTGATGATAATGATAACTTAATTCGTACTGAACCTCTAGTAATAAACTTAGAAAAATGACCAATTGTATAGTACATGGGCTGTTTATAGAATTCATCTTTATTTTTATTTACAATAATTGGTGCATCAACGTAGTTAGATGCCCAATTTGGCCCACCTGTTGTATCTAAGGCCAAATTCCATTCTAACCACCCTTGAACCCAATGATTTAAATCCTATAAATTATTTAATAACAATTATTATTTTATTTTTATTATTTTGTACATGTACTTACATCAATTATGTTATCTGCATATTTTTCTGCTCTATTCCAACTGCCCAACTGTACTTTAACAAAATCCCAAGGTCTATCACCTACAAAGTTTTTAATTTTATTCTATTAACTAATATTCTATTAGTTTTTAAATATCTACACCAAAAAACTATAAATATTTCACCTTGTGATGCTTCTGTATTAAGGATTAAAATATTACTAAAACTATCATGAACTTCACTCAAAACATTAACTGGAACAATAAAATCTAAGTACCAGTGAACTGCAACACCATCTATGTACTTTGCTGCTTCTTTATCACTCATCAACTACAAAAAGAAAATTTACTTATTTTTATTGAACATAAAATTAATTTATTTAAATACTATTTAATTATACCATTTTCATCCACCAAGGAAGTACAATTCTTTGATCATCTATTGCAAAGAGCAATGTTTTATTATACTCAGAAGACTTTAATATAGGTCCCATGTATTGACCAATCCAATCTCGATGCGATTGTGGTGTCCAACCCATTGAGTTAAAACGATTTAAGGGTATAATACCATTTAATGGCTCATTTCCAGTAGTTAAAGCCCAAAATGTAATATTAAAATTTTTATAAGCATCTAAAAATCTTTTAACATTGTTTATCAGAACTACTTATTAATATAACATCTTAAAAGTTTTTAAATATATTACTTTAAATGATATTTAGCCCATAACTCCATATATTTTGTTTTAAGAAAACCAATACCAGAAATAGCATTGTTTGTTTTCATCCAAATTGGAGCAGACCATGATGATGCAATAAGTTTCAATTCTTCAGATGTCTTTGACTGAGCAATTCTTATAAAAGGTATCTACACACGACATCAGAAAATTATTTTATTATTCACAAATGTTTCCTGGATATTTTACCTTAAACTCTAGGTCTTCAGTTTGTAGACTAAAATTTGCTAAATCTGAGGATCCTTTTTCGTCAGCATATGTGTATGCTCTGGTAGAAAAATCACTTCCTCCAATTGGTACCCTACCAATATTGTATTTAATACCATCATCACCAAAGTATGACCTAGTGTAAAAATATTAAGTTGTTACTATTATAACGAAAATTTGATAATATTTATGATACCATAATTAATTTATTTTTAAGAAATACTTATTCAATTTCTAAAAAAAAATGAGAACTAACCTCAATAAGTTCTCTTGGGTTTTATTGCTTAACGATTTTATATTTAGCCCTGCAGAATCTGTGAAAGCTGCACCAAACCCTTCGATAGTTTGATAACTTGTGTTCTCATCTACATTTATTTCATTGCTAGTCCACTGTGAATCAATAAATGGCACAAACGAGCCATTACTTTTGGTAAATCGACTACCTTCATTTGATGATGTATAAAGGATATATTTCCCATTAGGTAATTTTTTTGGTTGAGGTGTAAAATCACAATGAGTGGAATTGCAAACACACACAATTCCATAAGAAAACTGTTTTTGATAGCATTGACTTGCTGTAAATATCATGAAAAACCATACAGTACTTGTAAAACTGAAATGAGTCAATACATACCATTTAGATCACTCGCTGCCAAAGAAACACAAAGCAAAAAAAATATCAGCAATGCCTAAAAGTATTTATAACTATTATTTCCAAATTTTAAATCATTATCTGAACGAATAAGTGTTTACTTTCTAACTTTTTCTAGTCTTATAAACCAAAAGAAAAAATTTCGCATAATTATAATTACAAAATAAAAAAACCTAAAAACTGGAAATAAATGCACAACAAAATACAAAAAGTAAAAATTTCGACCAGACTGCAGGTTTCTTTAGTATCTTGACACTCTGTTGGATGTCAAAATATAAATAAATTTTATACCTTCTTAAATTTTTATTTAAAAATAATTGGATGAAATTGATAAAATATGAACTGTATTACACGGTTTTTTTTTTAATCGATATATATTTTTAAATGATGCGATGAATTTTCATCGTCTAATATGTTTAAAATTATTAGTGATTTGTTCATATTAAATTTTGACTTGGCATACTTCCTATAAGAGTAGAGTAGTGTAGAGAAGTAAAATTTTAATAACTTAAGTGGAAGATAATACGTGTAATCGATCAAATTATCAGAACTGTCTACGGCAATGATTATCAAATTCAACGAGTGGATAATTGTTTACCGAAACTCTAGAAGTGTTCATATTCTAAATGTAATTTTAGGATCATGTTATCAATTATTGTGGATTAGGACCAAGTCTCGTCTTTGTACCCAAATGAACTTAATTAGTACGACACTATTTATATAGTTGAAAGTTAATTGAATTTGTAAGTGTATTTTTAAATTTTTAAGTGAAGATGCCAAGCTAAGTTAAAGCATAAATAAGATATTTTTTACACAAATGATATCTATAGTTTGATAAATTAGCTATAAAATTCTATCACACATTAAGCACTTAAAAAATTTTTTTATTGTACTTAGTGTTTTTAGCTTCGATGCAAAGCTGAGAAGGTATTAATTTTACTATGATGTGTTTTTTTATAAATTTTTTTTTATTATTATTTTATTTTTTTTATGTATATTTTTTTTGTGTCTATGAACGCTCAATCTCAGTTCTAGTTGGACCGATTTTGATGATCAATACGTCAAGAGATCACAAATCGTATCTAATCGAAGACATTACTTCAAAAATTGAAAAAAATTCCCTCGTTCTCTGTAAATGGGAGAAATCCCCCAAAAATTACAAATTTAAAAATCGCTAATTTTCGACATTTTTTCAATTTTTTTATTTAAATCTACCATAAGTTTAAAATATGCTATTTTTGTGTTAAAATTCTGAGGTTTTGTATTTTATTTTATTTTAAAATACCTGACAAGGGGAGTACAGTGATTTTCATAAATATTATATAAATCAAATTAATATAGCATAGAAAGTTAAACTTATTTAAATTTTTTTAAGTCGAGAAAAATAACTTTGAAATTAGAACTAGCTTAAATCGCTGTTTTTTTTTCAATCGAGGGAGCAACGTAAGGTTGCCGAGTCGGTAACATTTATGTTTTACGCCCTTGGGATACAAGTTTCCAACCCATGTATGGCAAGGAATTTTTTGCATTTTTTTCTTAATTCTTTTTAAGTTAAAATAAATTTTCAACACCTTTGGTTTTTATCTCATTTAGATACAATAACATCAATAAAGATCTCGCGAGAAGAAATTTCTTATTCATATTAAAATTATTTTACTATATTTTAGGTTTTAGCTTCGATGCAGAACTGAGAAGGTATATTTTTGTGACTATCATTTATTTTCTCTGCTCTAACTTGACCTATTTTTCCAGCGATATGTCAAATGATTAAAACTTGTATTTAGTTGAAGATATTACGCTTAAAAATTGTCAAAGTTCAGTGTATAAAACATAACTTTGTTAACTGCTATAACTTTATCAAAAATGACCAAATCAATATAATTTTTTTTATATAGATGCATGTCTTTACCTATTATTTGGTATATTTTTTTTTTATAAAGCCGACCCTATACCTGCCCACAGGGGAATTCAAAATGACAACTTTTTTATTTAGTAAAAGTAAATCATTAAAATTAATTCAGTTCTGGATATTTCAATTGTAGAATTTTTTTAAATATCAAAAGTTACTTAGAAATGATTACTGTAATTTCTATTTAAGTGATCTATTACGATAAAAATGCAAAAAAATAATGAGCTTTTCTGATAAATATACTGTAAATAGTAATTATAAAATTTGATGACTGCATATTAATCTTAACGATACAATTTTTTTAATTCTCATAAAATTTTCTATTTAATGATGTCAATTTCAAACTTGCAAATTGAGCTAAAAGTTATAGTAAAAAAATTTTTTTTTTTTTTGTTATAAACTTTCACAAAAATTAACTTTAAATGATTAAAAAAATAAGTAAAATATGTCATTTCCTTATTAATAATCAAAATCAATATTAATTTAAAACAATTTTTTTTTGTTCTTAATTATTTTTTTTATATGTCAATACTTATTTTTTAATAATAAGTAATAATATTAAAACTTAGAAGTGATAGAAAAAGTCTAATAGCATATTTAAAAACATCGCGAAAAGTTGATTTAGAAAAGTATATTTTTGTTTCTGATGAAAGTTCCTTATAGTCTAGTGTATTTATTCATAAGTAACAAACATTTTTTATTGAAAAGTATCGCATCAAGCCCTTTAAATTTTTATACGCGTTAAAAGTAAAGAAATATACAACTATTTATTATTTTTATAATATCTCCGTAAAAATTACAATATTAAATTATTAAATATCAATTTCATACTAAATTTAATTACTATAATTATTATTTATTCATATATTATAATTGAAGAGTGAATGTGTCAAACGTTCTATGTGCCAAAAAAATATTTGTTCAGAAAACACAAAAAACATCACAAATTAAAAATTTTCTTATAATTTTGTATAAAAATATATGTTATGCTATATTTACACTATATTAATAGCCTCGTAAATTTCTATTATTTTATTTTGTCATTTCATATTAGTATAAATTAAACATTTGCTAATGACAGTTACAAGTGACAAGTATTATAATATTAAAGTTCCAAGTTTCAAATAATGTGATAATATTATCGTTCCAAGTACCAATATTTTATTATAGATAACAGAAAATCATTCTTTATTTTATTAAGACTTCATATATATTTTTATAAAATATGTAAAAAAATCAACACTTTTTTTGAGTATCACAAATTGAAAAATAAATGTACAAACTTAAATAAAAAATACTCTTAATCTAACATGACATTGTCAGTAAATCTCAAAACGTAAAATAAAATTTTTTCTTCATATAAAAATGTAACAAGAAAAGAAAACAGTAGCTTTCTTGAGTATCACAAATTGAAAAATAAATTAACAAACCTAATAATAATAAAAAAAAAAATCTAGATTAAACATAATTAGAACATAGCAACATCATAATAAATAGCAAAAAAAATTAATTCATGACGTTATATTTTTATAGAAGTTTCTGTGCTTATCAGGTAAAAAAGGAATCATGGCCAACAAATCTTTTTTCTTCTCTGACGACAATGTGGGTTTCGGTATAGGTATAAATGTCTGATTTTTAAGTTGATCTATAGTAGCATTTCTTTTAAAAACGTTAAAATCTTTCCAAAGTTCTTCATCTGAAAATGTTTTTTTATAATAGATTTTTTTGGGAGTTAAAAATGAAACTTTAATCATCGAACATTGGAAACTTGGTTGTGTTAAAAAAATTGTTAGCAATGTCTTTAAATGAAAAAAAGTTGTTTTCGTCCATCGGAATAACTCGAAATGGATTTATCAACTTCGCTGCTCTAACCATTTCTTGTAAATCAGAAGGAGTGAAATTTTGAAAAACTCTACGTCTCTTTTCGATAATAGCGAAATCACGAGCACAAGCCAAGAGAGAGTNACAGCGAAATCACGATCACAAGCCAAGAGAGAATGGCCACTTATCAAAAATTTTTGTATAATCTCATCAAATATCCCCATATTTATTAAATATAACATCAAAACTACTAACGTTTTATTTTTATTTTGGCCAGCACAGTTGTCTTACCATATAATTAGTTTTTTGCGATTTATCGTATTTTCGTTTTTGTTAATAACTTGAAAAAGAAAAGAAGCGATTTCTGAGCTTCCACGAGAAGCAATACTTTCATCCCACATATACATAAAGGCTGTATTGCTGTCACCGAGATGTATTCCAAAGTTATAACAACTAAGTTGACGCTTTCCTGAATTGTATTATTGCTTTTCCTGGTCGCATACGATTTTCCACTAATTCTTTTTTTAGTCTGATCATTTCTTCTTTTTTTACCACTTCGTAAAATATGTATACTTTCAGTATCCATAATAACACAATTAAACAAATGAAAAAGAAAACTTAACGAATACAACAACACCAGTATTAGTTATTTTGAAATATAACGGACTATATTATAATATTGTAATCGTCAAACTATTATATTCGCCCAAGGCACTTAGAACGTACAGGTAACAAAGGGCATGTCTCACAGAACAAATACAATCTATGAACGCAATTTTGTACAAGTAAAAAATTTAATTGACACTTGAAACACATACAAGATTGTGACCTTTGGCTCATAGAACATAAATCAGAAATAAAACAATTTTTCAATTTTTTGGCACATAGAACGTTTGACACATTCACTCTTCAAATAAATTAATTTATTCTCAATCGTAATTAATAGGGTTCGTCAACGATATCAATATCGCTGACTTTTTTCATATTCCCACAATATCGATTATTTTGTGAAATATCGCAATAATCAAAAAAAAAATTTTAATAAAAAAAACTATTTGAATTTTGATTACTTTGTTATATATATTATTTTATATTAGCCCAAAAACATTTTGTGATAATATTGTTTATATTTTTTATATTAAAATATATTATGAAATCTAGAATTGAGATAAATGAAAAATTATATTTATTGTTACAAAATTCTATTCTAAGATTAGGTTTTTTATGACATTTTTGTTTTATTCCTATTTAACAAAACACAAACAAAGTAATATATGAGGAGAAGAATTAGAAAAAAAAATATTCTAATTAGTTGAAACTCAATCTGATAAATATAATGAAATTATTGAGTACAAAAAAAAATCCCTATTAAGGCGTCTGGGTACCGACCGCTTTTTAGTCAAAAACAACCCGTTTTTGTTCCATCAGTATGACGAAACTACTGATGCGATAAGAATTCTGAAAACATATCTGAATTCAGCATCATGTCACTTAGGTATCGGTAAGGCCATATTTTTGAAATTTTGATGTTTTTAACCCTTTATTACAGTTTTCATTTTCGAATAATTTTAAAATTTTCAAAATAATTTTTACGTTGAAGGAATCACAATTTCAAAAAAATGGCCTGACCGATACCTAAGTGACATGATACTAAATTCAAATTTGTTTTCAGAATTCTTATCGCATCAGTAGTTTTGTCGTACTGATGGAACAAAAACGGGTTGTTTTGTACGCTCAAACTAATGGTTTTCAAACAGTAGCTGTTAA